ATTCAACACACACATACACACACACACACACACACACACACACACACACACACACACACACAAAGAAAAAGTGGATAACTTTGTCTGTGCAGCCATGGGTAACCGGGATTCTGCACTGCTTTGTTCGGGTGCCTCACGGAGTGGGTGACGCACAGAGCCAAGTGGGCACCCTAACTGGGATGCACTGAAGTCTCATGGGAAAATGCTCTCAGAAGCACCTCAGCTTGGATGCTGCTTGGTTTTAAATGTCTGTGTATTCAGAAACATTTGGCTATTGTCAGATTCTCAACCCCCCACATTCAGGGACAATGCCCCACATTTTAAAAAGCCAGGCCTTGGGGATGCAGGCCTCCAGGAACCTCTAGAGTATGCTCTCTTTTTGTTTCAGGTTGTCTTTTCATGTGTTGTCCTTTTAAACTCCTGTCACCTTGAACTCTCGGCATCTGTTTTCATTTCAGGGGATCTGCTGGTCTCTGCTTCAGGTCATCCTGTGTTAGCCTAGCATCCAACATAAGTTTCCCTGTGTTGGAAGATTCTCAAGGAATAGTGGGATAGAGGGTCTTGGCTGCCTGAAGCAGGAGGCGGGGTATTGTGACATGCTCCATGAAAAGGCAGTTTTTCATTTGGACAACGGAGGCCCCAGCCCACTGGGGCAAGGAAGCCGGACCGACATGGAACATAGGCCTGGGAAGAAGTCCTCAAGGGCCCGAAAGAAGAAGGTCGGGGCTCAGCAGGAGACCGGGAGTCATACTATTTCGGGCCGCGGTCGGGTGTTGCTAATAAGAGAGTTCTTGAAACAGGATGAGACCTACGCCACCCTGCAGAGCGTCCTGGGGCAGCCTCCGAAGGATCTGGATGCTGAGCCCACCTGCAGTCAAGCAACAGACAGCCAAAGTAGTTTCTTCGTCGCCAGGAGGGGACTCAAGCGCACCAGCGATTGCTTGGCTGAGAGCCCTGAAGCCCCGGCCGCCAAGTCCAAGCGAGGCGCAAAGAACCCGGTGAAGTCTGAGAACCCGGAGACGTCTGAGAACCCGGAGAAGTCTGAGAACCCGGAGAGGCCTGAGAACCCAGAGACGCCGGATTGCCCAGAGAAGACGGAGAACCCGGAGAGCCCGGAGAAGCCGGAGAGCCCGGAGAAGCCGGAGAGCCCGGAGAGCCCAGAGAAGCCAAAGTGGCAGCTCTTAGATCTGGAGGAAAAGGAGTCGTCGGATCACGAGGGGCCTCAAACGCTACACGGGTCCTGCAGCTCGGCTCAGATCGCCCAGCTAACTTCGGAGCCCGGCAAGCAGCTGCTCCTGGTGCTGTGCCATGCATCGGCGCTGGGCACGCAGCTGCCGCGGTTACAGCTGCTCCTGCAGCAGGTGCGCGTCCAGGACCGTCGCCCGCCCGCCGCCATCGTCGGGATCCTGGTGCAGCCGCGGCCGGATGAGGAAGCAGAGGCGCGCCTCTGTCTGGAGAACCTGCTCTGCAGCGTCTTCGCTTCAGAGAACCCAGAGGTCGAGGTGCACACAGCAGTGTTCTGTCCCAGCCGACCCCAGGGTGCCCTGCAGGTCCATCGCGCTACCAGCCAAGGGCACATGGTCCCCCTAGTGGATCGCCAGACCCAGACGGATGGTGAGGGGCTCGAGGGTGGAGACTGGGACTATTGTTCCCCTGAGAAGTGGGCAAATCCCTGACCTCACTGCTCTGGGTTGACACCTCTAGAAGTTTGGGGTACAATTTGAATGGGTAATAAACCGGCGTCCTTTTCCCAAGATGTGCGGGCTGGAACAATTTGAAAGTGTTCAAGTTAACCCAGAGGGTAAACTCTTCTCCCCATCTTCCCTGCCCACAGCTTTTATAACGTCCTGATGGGGTGTGTAGGACCTACAGGAGCCTACCCCTCCTCTCCAAATGCACTGACAGGTGCCCTTCTCAGGTTCTTTAGTGGACTATCTCCTATTACTCCTCCAGGGGATAAAAATGTCAATGAAAACAGCCTATTGTGAGCCAGTCACCATGTAAAGAAGGGCCTTCATCTGCAGGCTTCACAGCAGCCCTCTAAGGTTGGGACTTAAGGAAGAGTTAACTGGTTTAACACTGCAATTTTGCTCAAAGCCCCTAATGCCCTCCTTATGGCCCTGGGGACTAGTTTGTGGCCTAGGGTCCTTGACCAGTTGATTCTTTTATTTTTTTAAGATTATTTATTTATTTATTTATTATGTATACAACATTCTGCCTCCATATATATCTGCACACCAGAAGAGGGCACCAGATCTGATAACAGATGGTTGTGAGCCACCATGTGGTTGCTGGGAATTGAACTAGGGAAAGAGCATTCAGTGCTCTTAACCCCTGAGCTATCTCTCCAGCCCGACCAGTTGATTCTTAACATGAGCTTCCAGCACTTCCTGTTTCCAGAAGCCCCTTTCAGGGACAGCATAGAGATCAGTGTTCTGAGGCAGGAACCTCGATGCCCCATTACAGGGGCTCTGCCCACCCTTCAGCTAGTGACCAAGCTCCTCCTCTTTAGACCACTCTCCCACATGACATGCAAGGATGAAGGATTGCTCGATGCCAGGTTCAGCAAGAGAGGCTAGCTTCAGGATAATGACGAGATACTCCTTCTAATGTCCAGAGCGCACTGAAAGACCAGAGCCCCAGTGACAGTAGACGGGGCAGGGTAAGATCACTCTCAAGACCTTGCAACCTCACTGCCTATCCCCCAACTTTTTAAACTTGTTCTTTTCCTAAATAACCCCTAGCATGGCTGTGTTTCACATGGATTGTTTCACACAGTCAATTGTGACTCTCACAGGGGACTGCAGAAATCCTAGTCCATCTTTGGCACAGCCTCTTAATAGGGAAAGTTCCCCAACTCTGCCTAGAGCTGTTCTATTCCTTTCACTCTCTTTCAATTCAGACAGCTTGCATAAAACCTGCTGGCTTTCCTTGCCCAGATCTAGGGCGTGGGGAATGAAAACGTAAGACAAAGCTTGAACAAGGCAAGCCCACTATGACTGCCTTGTAGAGGAGTGGCTCTCCGCAGGGAACTCTGGTGAAGACTTCTCCCAGCTTCCAAACCACGTGTTTTCTTCTTAATGGTAGAAACACTCCTCAGTCTGGATCCTGTCATCTATCCCCCTGTGCCCTGTGCCCTCTCTTTGGGTGAAATGGGAGTAGCTATTTCGTGGCTATTAGGACATTCTACCCATACATGTCCCTGTCCCCACCTGACAGTTGTTTCAACCAGGAACACTGCTACCAACTCCTCAAAGCTCTGGGGATATTTAGTTACATCTAGAGATGCTTTTAGTTACCATGATGGGGTGCTGGCTAGTCAAGGCCAGAGAGGCTGCAGAGCTTCCTATGACACACAGCACAGCCTCCCCCAGGAGACATCATCTATCAGGGCTGATTGAGATACTGGCTTAAACCAGGTTAAGCTCCTCCATCAGTGTCTTTCAATGACTAAAAAGGCAATTTAGCCAAGATGAGCACTATTCAGACTTTCAGTCTCTCTGATTCGGATGGCATCCCTCAGTTGGTCCACTGTCTTTGCCCTCAGGAAACTACCAGTTTCTTGTAGGTTCACCTGCCGACTCAACCCCCTTAGTCCAAATAAACCAAACATGCCCCAGTGTCACTGATCCGAGCTTTAAACTTGCTCTTCTTCATACTTTTCTTCAATCTTCCCATGCAAGGAACTTTATTTTCTTTCAATTCATTAATTTCAAAGCCTGTATAATCTGATTCCCTACTTCCTGCTGGAGTCACAAAGAAAAAGAACTCTTAATTGGAATTTAGTCCTGAGTGTGCTGACAATCAGCTGGGGGTGAGGAGGTATTTATGTATGTAATTTAACTTCTCTGAACCTCAGTATCCTTTTCAGCAGAATAATAATTAGTAGTAGTAATATAATTGGTAGTCTTTGCTGACTCTAGAAGCCTGGAAATAGACCCTCTCTCTCATTTCACTGTTGACAATTGGTCTGGCCTTTGTGTGGGGCTGCTATGGGACATTTTTGGCTTGCTAGTTCTCTCCTGACTTTGCGTTGTGTCCTCCTTTTACCCAAACAGCTGTGGGACTTCGGGTAGGGCAAGTCACTTATCTACACAGCTTACCTAGATCATGGAGGAAGTTCTGTCTCTTGCTGGGAGCACATTTTTCTGTTGCAGTGTGTGACATTTAGGCTGTATTTTCAAAATTCCTTTCACTCTTCCATCCTAAAATGAAAATCACATTGTTGATTTTTTAAGGAAGATTCATAGTCTATTTGACCCAACCAGTGTCTTGGGAGGTAGTAAGTCAGTTTCACCAATGTAATGAATTTGAGAAATTAGTCTGTTTCTGAGAGCTGGCTTAAGGTAGAATTGTTGGTCAAATTCAAGGGTTCATATAAAAGTTCAGACACACACAGGAACACGGTCCCCGCCCATGGGGGGGGGGCATTTCAGACGTAACAGAGGCAGTGGGCGTAGGAGGTAAAATGCTGAAAGAAGCCAAATCTTCAGGAAAGTTCCCTAAAACTTACTAAATATATGGCGACCATAGATGTTTGTGTTTGGGGATAGACATGTGGAAACCAGTAACAGAGCTGAGAGTCCCATCCAGGATATCTTCGAATAAAAGATAGCTCACACGGACCCAGGAACACGCAGTGGAAAGGTGCCTGAAACGGGTGCTCTGGTCACAGAATCAAGGGGATCCAGTTGTCACAGGCCCAGAGACTGGCTTAATCAGGCCCTGAAGGAATAGGGCAGCTGCTGCCCCCTGTCTGTTCCAGCAGGAAGCCCTGGAAGAGGAAAGATGCTCCAGCAAAGACGGTGCCAGAGCCCTAGCCATGGGATCCACCCTGGCTTTTGTGACCTCACAGGAGGTATGGATGACTCTTGTCTGTGGGACCTTGCTGTAGTCAAAGACCAGAGCCAAACCCCATAAGCGAGACCGCCTCCCTAGGGAGGGAGCCAGGAAATTCACAGCTCCATGTAGCTCCACGGTGTTAGTCAAGAAGGACCACCATGAAGAAGGTCAAAAAGAAAAAGTCTGATTCCAGGCGCCGCAGGGAGTCCATTTCGCCGCAGGCTAGTTCGGACTCCTCCCAGCGGCAAAGCTCAGAAACCCCATCATGTCCAGAGCCTATCTCGCCGCCGCAGCCACAGTCGTACCAGGAGTCCACCCCATCACAGCAAGTTAACCCTCAGGTTATACCGCAACATCATACAGCCCACGTTCTCCCAGTAGCGGATCATCGCGTCTCAACTCCATGCCTGGTGCTACCTTTAAAGCCTGACCACAAAGCATCCTCTCCATGCAGGAAACCAGGTGGGCAGGCTTCCTGGTTAAGCAGGACCCTTGTTGATAGGGTCCCAGAGCCACCAGAAGCGGGTTCTTGTATGATGATGGTGTACGATTAATGTGTTACCTGGAGCCTGGGTTTTGTCATTCCATACATCTCAGGTCTTATTGGAAACAGCCATGAATTCATAGTAACATTTAACTTGGCTGTATGGTGAGAATCTAGCATTAGGAGTCATTTAGCAACTGTTTAGAAATTAAAAGCAAATATGTTCTAGAAGAAGTGAGGCAGTCATATGCCTTATGACTATTTTTTTCTAATCTGGCTGTTCTCAAGAGAGGCCTGACCATTCCAAAGAAGATAGACCAGACCAGGGTGATGGGGGTGGGGGGTGGCTGTGTGACAGTTTTTGAGAGAACTGGGCCTTTCGGTTTGTCAGGTGGAAGATGGGAGGAGAGTTGTGTTTTTGTTTTTGTTTTTGTTTTTGTTTTTGTTTTTGTTTTTTTCCTCCATTTTGTCCCAAGAGGTCTGACCTTGGGCCCACAGAGATGATAGTCGAAATTCAGGATTTGCCGCTAAATTCTAACTTCAGATAAACTACAGAAAATGTTACAATTGTTAGTATATGTGCTCCAGATAAGCATCCTGTATTTCTGTTCTCTACGTTGTCAACCTTTCCCACAGAAGACACTAGAAAAGGATCTGCTCAATGCCTAAAACAAACAACAAAAATAACACCATGTAGCCATCAGCTCTGTCTAAAATTAAATAGCTGTCTGTCAAAAAGTGATCCCCATCTTCTTGGACAGCCAATGAGAGGTAAAACTTTGAACAATAATAATTTGGGAAATGGGATGCTTCAGACTGCTAAGGACAATGGAAATAGCCAACCAAACTGATCACTGGCCATTCTTTCGGTACCTAGCACTCAAGCTCAACCATCTAAGTTAATCTTCTTATCTGACAGTACTACAGGGGAGGTACTGTCCATTTTATTGATGAGGAAACCAGGGTTCGAACTAGCCAACACACCCCAGAGCAGCCATTGGTACTGTTGAAAGGGGGTCTTCGGTCTATTCTGATTCCTGAATCCTTGTCCTTAACCAAAGAAGACCTTCCAATTCCAAGAAGCCAACTAGTCTCTCAAGGAGGAGGACATCTTTCTCTGACCTTCCCTTGAGCCAAGACCAGGTGCTTTGTATGTGTCCTTGAGCAGTCCACACACTCAGCCACAGCAATCCTAGGACAGTCTGAGTAGAAAACAAAGGACACAACAAATGAGAGCTCTAAATCCAAGGAATTGCCAGGATACTGTTGCCTCTGTGACTAAGCACAAGCCTGTCCTTGACATGTGGTGGTTGTGTATAATGTGAATATCAACCATGGAGACCAACATTTCTGAATGATAGCCTCCAAACAAACTGGCCTGTACCAGATCTTTTAAGTCTTGATGTGGTTGCTTAGAAGACAGTGGGGCATTGAAGGGGCAAAGCAAGATATGTTCCTGGACCACTGTGTTTTTTAACTTTCTCACCACTGTGACCTAATGTCTTAATTAACTGAAAGAGGATGAATTATTCACACTGGCTCACAGTTTTAAGACTATCTATGCATCATGGCAAGAAGCAGCCAGGAAGTGGAGAAAGGGAATACAGGAAGGACAATTGTAGCCTGCAAAGACATAGCCCTAGTATGTCTTCCTGCTAGGCTCCATCTCCTACCTTTTACCAATGCTCAATAATGCCACATGGAGAATCCAGGAAAGGGATTAACCCATTCCTTAGATCAGAACTTCCACGGATCTAATTTTTCTTCAGAAACACCTTAATAGATGCAGCCAGAGATGTTCTTTACAGATTATCTTGGCATTTTCTAATCCAGTTGAGTTGAAATTCACCATCACCTTCATTGACATTATAGTGGACACCTCTTGTTGCTTCTCAAGGAATCTTCCCCATCTGAGGAAGAGCAGGAAGGAAAGTTGGAAATAGGGGCTGAAGACTCATAAATATATAATGTCGCTTTCTAAAACCAAGCCTTCTTAATGCAAAATATTATGGCTCAAATCAATACTAGTGAACATCCTAATAGCACTTCATAATAACTAAAAGCTGGAAACAACCTAATGTCCTCTAAATGAGGAATGGATAAGCTAAATGTGGTATAAATTAATCAGAATACAATGAAACACTACTTGTCAAGAAAAACGGCATCATTCATTGAGGATAGCTACAACACAGATGAACTTTAAAAATATTAGTCTGATTGAAGAAGCTAATCCCCTCAAGAGTTAACATAAATGATTTCATTTGAAAAATGCCCAGAATAGTCTATTGCCAGGGATAGGAAAGAGGGAAATGAGGGTGTCTGATGATGGGGTACAGTTTCTTCATCAGGAGATGAAAGTGTCCCAAAGCTATAGTTGTGATGGTCACACAACTTCACAAACATACTAAAGCTACCTAGCACACTAATAGTAAATGTTAGGACTTTGAGAATTATATCTCAATTTCAATTTTTTAAGCTGAAAAAAAAGTGCTGTTTGTGGAATCCTTGCTTCCCCTGTTCCAAAAAAAAAAAAAAAAAAAAAAAAAAAATAAAAATTCACGTGTTCTGTAGATAGTCTAAGCAGGAAGTGTACGGAGCATGCAAGTTGACAAACCAGCTTTCTGACACTTAGGACTGGAGCCCTTGTCAAACCCAGCCAGAATTATCAAAAAAAGGCTTGCCCAGAAACAAAGGATACCATCTCTTGGTTCTGCTAAGTCAGGTCCCAGAAGAACACAGAAATGATAGTATTAGGGAGCTGGTTCTGAGAACTGAAACTGGGATGTTTGTCTTTGGGATGAACTGGTACTCACTACATACATGGAACGTGGCAGCACCAACTCCAGGACTCTCGTTGCAGCCTCTCATGGGTATCGCCATCACCTACTTACTTCACTTCCTACCAGTTCTGCAGGAAGGATTTCCACTGACTTAAAAAGTGCCTCTCATGGGTATCGCCATCACCTACTTGCTTCACTTCCTACCAGTTCTGCAGGAAGGATTTCCACTGACTTAAAAAGTTAAAGCTCTTGCTGGGCAGTGTTGGTGCACACCTTTAATCCCAGCACTCTGGAGTCAAAGGCAGGATTTCTGAGGCCAGTTCTGTCTCTACAGAGCGAGTTCTGAGACAGTCATGACTACATAGAGAAACCCTGTCTTGAAAAAAAAAAAAAAAAGGTTAGGGATCTTGAGCTGAGGTCCACTTCTGTAATGTACTTGATATATTCTTGGAGCCTTGAATCCCTTGTCTGAAAAATGAAGCCAGCAGCATTCTGTGTCACAGGATTGCTGTCACAGTCAGATGTGGATAATGACAGGAAGCACTCTGCAAGTCACCTTTTCATTGCTGTAATTCTTCCCAAGTAACACCAGTCTAGAACCAACCTATCCTTCCAAGCAGCTAGTCCCTGCTTGTGTTCAAGAAGGGGTGGCGCCACAGGAAAGCTGCCTTCTTGTCTTTCACTCTTACATCTTTGACAGTGTCTTTAAAAAGCCTAAGGTTTCCTTTGCTAACACGGACGCTGCTGCGGGTTACTTCTAGAATTGTCCTCAAGACTGTGTCCCACCCCCAGGAGCCAGGTGCAGCCCTGATCTCTCTCGTTCTCTGTCCAGCAGTGCCTCTGACCTATGTGGCTCCAGGCTCCTGCTCCTGTGCGGCCTGCCCCGGCAGCTCCACTTGCTGGCGACGTCTAGGGCTGTGCCACAGCCGAATCTTCGATGTTCTTCTGCCTCGGGACTGGCAAGGCGCGCCAGGGAGAGGATTCCCAAACCTTCTCACCTTCTACAGGTTCCGCAGCAAGTGGGAGGGTTAAAGCCTTGAGGGTATAGTTTCCAGGGCCAGGCTCTGTCCTCAGACCTTGTTAGCAATTGTGTATAATAAATTTCTCCAAAACCCACAGGTCTTTCCAAAGGAAAGCCTTCCCTTCTAAATAACCAATTCTGTTTTGGAGGGCAGGCTCTTGTGGAACCTTTTCTCTTTTCCACCAAAGCCCTCAATTCTGGCAGCACCCTCTCCCCAGCCCATTATAAACTCCAGGCATCTGGAAGCTTTGTGATTAAACATTGGTTGTCCATTCACTTCCTTTTTTAAAAAATTCATGTCATGCACAGAGAGCATCTACTTACTAAACTATGTGAATTATCCCTGGAACTCACTGATAAGCCTGATCATAACTTATAGGCCCCTTCTGCTAATACTAGCAAAACCTGCCCCATTCAGAGTATCCCATTTGTTATCATGAGTATCTATGGGCCATATGTTCCATACTGGTCTGTTATTGGCAGCCCCCTTCTCCATTATAGCATCACCCAATCTTTGCCCTCCTGTTCCTCTTCCACAAAGACACCAGAAGAAATGTCATATAGCCACTGTCGCTCGTGCAACGCCCCTATCCATGTTAAGAACGGATTGAAGATGTCCTCGTACTTGCAGGGCTTCTGGGTTATATGTTGGGGCTAGGAGAGGGCCCTTTACAAATGAGCAGCCCCACTGTACTCAAAGACCTCACAAAAACCCATGGAAGAGGTCCTCCCACTTGGGGGTCTCATAGCCTACATCAGGAGGGTGGCCCACTATCCCATCCTTCTCCTCTCCTGATCCTTTCCAGCTCCCTCTCTTGCAAAGAGAATGAAACACACACACACACACACACACACACACACACACACACACAGTCTCTAGGACAGATTTGGAAGCCAATGCACGCTCACACACGCGCGCGCGGGCACACACACGCACACAGATACAGGGCTGCTCTGGGGAACAGAACATGCCTGGAGTCAGAGATACCATCTAGTCAATCCCTTCCTGGAAGAGCCTGCCCACCACTCACCCACACAATGTGCTCATTCATCTGCTGCCAGGTGGTGCTGTTGGTTGCCATGGGTGAAAAATCAAAGCCTGCTCTGGTAGGATGCTAGGTACTGTGAGGGACCCTAAACAAGATCTTCACCTTCCAACATGTTCAGCCGGGGAAGCTAGCTAAGATGCATGCAGATAGAAACCTCTACACAAATCAGGTAGTGCTGGGTACAGGAGGGCTTCTGGAAGTTTCAGACTAAGGCAGCATGTCAGGGGCTACAGCATTGTGTGCCCAGTGTATGAGCCAACTCCAAAAGCATCCTAGGGTCCTCCTCAGCTTAAGATGAAGAGGAAGGGTGTTTTAAGCTGTTGGAAAAACCAAACCAAGGTTCAGACTTAGGAAAGCAAGGGAAAGAGAGGTATGGATCCCATGGCCAGGGCAAGATGCGTGGTTTTTACTAATTTTCCCATGGGAGCCCCTGCTTCCAAAATCTTTACCTTCTCAGAGGATTTAAAATAGACATTCATGTTGTACAAGAATCCCTACTTTAGTCAGCTTTCTATCAAACTGGATACTGTGTTTTCTGAATGCCTTCCTTGCATTTACTACTACACTCACTTGCTGCCCCAGTCTTTGTAGTGGCTGTAACTAATATGTAATTTTCTGATATCTAAAAATCTCTGAAATGCCTCAGAGAGCTGTTGTGAAGCTTAAGGAGGATATTGAGTGGGAGGTGTCTGGTACGTGGCCTGGCACATCATGGTCTGGACCACCCTGGTACCCTGGTAACCCTCTCGGCATTGGGCCTAGGCCAGCCCACCCTCCCAGGGGTCTTGTTGGAAACTTTGTTGTAAAGGGTGGGGGCATCCATTAGGGTACCCTTTCCTTTCTGTAGGAGGAAGATCAGGAGAGGACCCCCCTGTAAGTACCACTGTCTCCTTCCAGTACACAGACACTAAACCTTTCTCCCCAAACCCCCCTCTCTGCTTTGCTTTGTAGAAAGCCTTCAAGGAAACACTGCACTCCCCGTAACTCACGTGCTTCAGGCTCTCGGAACTGTTGCTGTGGCTCTGGGGGCCCTGGGAGCTGCCTACTTCATCGCTGAATCCTTGTGAACTGGACCCCAGGCCCCGGTCCAGCAGGTAGGAGGCTCGCTTTGTCCCTCTCTAGATAGCGATATCTCAAGGCAAACAAGGCCTTCAGCCTGTCAGGGAAAGCTCATGATCCAGGCGACTCATTCCTGCCTCAAGATGGGCTGTCATGGCTCTCTCGGGCCTCTCTGGAGACCTTTTATCAGAAACATCATGACAAAGCCCCTTCCTCTTCACTTGCACCCCTGACTTGCTATGGCTTCCCTAGTCCCAGATGGGAAAAAGTAGGATGGGTGGGGTAGAGGTTGCTCACTTCTGAGAAAGCTGGGTGCCCTTCCCAGCATCTCCAGCACGACCTCTCCTTGGTGGCTTAGCTCCCCTGGTGTACCCCCAACTCCAGTGACTGTTTCCACTCACACCTGTGTCCTCCAGCCTGTTCCACTTGGTTCTTTGGAATGTGTGTGATCTCTCTCACTCCTCACTCATATTGAACCATCTCTGCATGAGGATGTCTTCAATCACCACTCCTGTTTCACCTGAGCCCCCCTGGGCCCCAGAAGCAGAGCCGGAAACAAGGACTGGGTGCACCCAATACCTCAAGGAAGTACCCTCAGGAGAAAGCAGGGGTGGGTGGGAAGGCAAGAACAAGACAGGAAGGTCTCCACCTGGATCTGTGGAGTCCCAGAATGTTATTTGTACAACAGAGGCACTCCCTCAAGAGACACGGGTTTCCCCCTCCGTGTCCCTGTGTCACTCAATCAATATGTGACTATATGGGTGTAGGGAGGAAATTTGGGTCTTGGTGGAGAAAGCAATTCCTTAGGCTGAGGGCCAGTCACTGGAGGAAGGGGTAGCTCTTGGTCATCATTAGCCAAAATCTACCATTCAAAGAGACAATGCACCAACTGAGACGGGAACTGAAGGGGGTGACAGCCAAGAGCACCCATAGTCATCCCAACAGCTAGGTCTCGTTCAGTGGATGCTTAAAAGGTGATGGATGAGATAGGGAGTGAGAGCCAGGAGACACTGCAGCTGCCCCGTAGCCCTCTGTCTTCCATGGGGGTGGACAGGTGATGACTATAGTCAAGCACAGGGCTGAGAATCAATGCTTAAAATATAGAACCATCCAAATCCTGCAAATGACTCCCGTAAGAGTGCAGCTTCTTTGCTGGAGCTCCTGATGTCTATTCAAGGATCATCCAAGGGATAGAATTAAACAACCCTGACCTCCAGGAAACACCGAAGCACACAGGAGCCTTGACTTCCCTCTTCTCAGACTTGCTGGGGGTGAGGAGGCATTTGTAGGAGCTAGCTGGTGGCCTTGGGTCTTGTTGTCATAGCAGCATGGTGCCTGAGAAGACTCTGGCTTTGGAATTAACTGACACTCTCTAGACTGTGTGCCACTTGGACTCGTTGTTAGAGGCATGTTCTTAACATCTCTGTCAATGTCATCTCTAGTGGAAAGTAACAGCTCTCTCCGAAGGCAAGGGTCATGAGGATTCAAAGACATTCACAGGGCCACCACCCAGCGTGGGGTAGACAAGTGGCACTAGCCACATGAAGGGTGCAAGAATTTCATCTATGAGATTCCTACAGCATCGCCGACTACTTGGAAGTATGGATTCTACAAGCATGCAGGCTTAGAGTTAGATGTCCCTTTGGCATCCAGTGCCTGGAGCCTAAGGAAGCTTCTGACATCACGTTCTCTTCCCATTAAGTGGAGATAATGCCAGCAGAACTCTCTTGTTGGGAAGATTGAATTTTAAAAACTGCTGATGGAGAGATGTCTCAGTCAATGAAGCACTTGCCTAGCAAGCATGAGGACCTGAGTTCAGATCCCCAGCACCGATGTAAAAAGCCTGACCTAGCAGTGTAACCCCAATGCTGGAGAGGCAGAAGCGGGAGGATTCTTGGGGCTCTCTGGACAGCCAGGCTAGCCAAATGGTGATCTCCAGGTTCAGTGAGAGACTACACCTCATCTCAAAAGTAAGGTGGGGAGCAATTGAGGACGACACAACATATTGGCATCTGGCTTCCATACATATGTGTGTCAATCAGTATACACATGCAGAGACAGACAAGGGGTGTTGAGAGAGGGAGGGGGAAGGAGAGGGAAGAGAGGAATGAAAGAAAGAAGACAGAAAGAAAGGAGAGGAGGAGGAAGAGGGAAGAACAAAGAGGAGAATAAAGGGAATTTGAATTCTAAGATAATTTACCTTTTTACCAAAAGCATTTAGCTGTTGAACCCTCACAGGTAAGACTGTCAAAGTGGAAAGTTGTTGCGATAGGTGACAAGGGGTTGATTAAGCTAATAGTTCTGTCATTTACTTATTGTTTATTTTTCATTACAGATCCAGTTTCCATCGAAGGATCTCACTTGTCACCAAAATAGAGAGAGAAAAATACCTTCTCTTTTCTTCGTTTCATTTTATTTTATTATATTTGAGACAAGGACTTGCTATGTAACCCAGACTAACCTTAAACACATAATCCTCCTACCAGAGCCTGCAGAATGCTAGGGTTTGCAGCTGAGTGAAGCCCCCACCCCAAAGAAATCTGTCTTCAGTGTGCTTTACTCAGAAATGTAAAAGTTGACCCCAGCACACAGTCAGGGAGGTAAAGTGCCTTTAGCATGTTTTTAGCTGGAGTAGGAACCTACCAATCCTGGTCTTGGCCTCTCCCCAGGTGGAGTCCCACTGGCACACAGTCAACAATGAAGCTTTCACTTGCCTGGCTCTAAAAGCAAGAATAGCAAGGCTCAATTCAATATCTAATTTAACTAGTCAGTCACAATTCAGGTCAGTTAGTAGGGGCAGGAGGCGTAAGCTAACAAAAAGCCTGTGTTCTGGGAGGCAAGGGCCCTGAACCCTGGGAGGAAATGGCCCCTCTTGGCATCACTTGTGATGGGGTCCTGACCTGCTTGCACCCCGTGGCTACTTGTGGCCAGTGCTGGGTGGACTTTTCCTTCCAACTCTTAAACATTTCGGTAGAATCTTAGCATTCTGTTATGATAAATCTTTCCGCCAAAAGCCGCCGGAGCCCTACCGCCACGTGGGCCGCTTTTCACCAGCCGTCTGAGTTCTGCCCAGCTAGTTAGGGCCCCAATTAATGCACAGAGATTTATATTAGGTACAAATGCTGCTTGGCCAATGACTAGGATTCTCATTTGTTGGCTCAGCCTTAATTATCATAAATCTATATATTTTATAAGACTCATCTTATCAGACGCCTTCCATTGGCATCCTCGTCCCCGGATCACATGGTGACTCTGGAGGAAGAGAGGGCCCACTTCCTTCTTCCCTTGTTTATGTATGAGTCTCCCTGCTATGTTATTTTCTGCTTGGATCATCACTTCCCAGAATCCTCCTTGACTCCTAGTCACACCTAACTTGCTGCCTCACTGGCCAAACAGTACTTTATTCAACAATCAATAATATGAACATACACAGAAGTACATTCCCCATCACTTAGTCTACAGAAATCCCAGCAAAAACGCCCAGAAGAGGCAGGTATTACAAGGAAGGGAGATGAGCAACACTGGGTACAGTGGCCTCTGCAGGCAGCTGGAGCCAGACTCTGTTGGTACCACCATGAAGATGACAATACACACCAACCCAGTAATCCCACCCCAGAGAAAACTAAGTCACTGTTGTCTACCATTGGTGGAGGCCAACTGGGAGAGAGATGGCTGTACTTCTGTCCCCCTCCAGAGAAGGAAACCTGTAGACAGAGGAGAGCAGATGTCAGAGAAAGCTGTGCCCAAGTATTATCGGGCAGCTAAGGGTGGGCTAAGAACCTGCTGTTTTTCTAAGAGTTGGCCAAGGAGGAATCTAGCCAGTCTGCCCCTGATGAGGCAGAGGACTGATCTTTCTGTAGCAGTAGATGAGAATTGGGTGGGATAGGTCAGGCTAGTCAGTTACTAGGATCCCCAGAACCCTAGAATCTTTGAGGTGATTCCAGCAAACACCACTAGATGAGGGAAATGTTCAGGAAACAGAGGTGGTCAACAATGGGGTTCCTTCCCTGAGCCTATAAAGCCTTCTCTGAAATGTCGGGCAATTGAAGAATGCATAGCAAGGGACACAGGAGGGTCAGGTGTCTGCCCTGTGGTGCAGTTTGAGATGAAGAAGCCCACCGATACCAGAGATCCAGTGGCCACTGCTACTGCAAGGCCTGACTCCTATAACAGAAGATGAACTCCTTCCCCTGGTATAATAACTAGACTCTCTTTTGTTGTAAATAACAACCTGACAAAACTAGACCCTGGTTAAACACAGTCCTCTGCCCAGCACACAGGCTTATGCAGCCATACTTGGAGCCGCTCACCCACACAAGCCAGACACATTGCATTTGCTTTCTCACTCTTTCGTCTTCTTGATCTCCCTCAATGTCTCATGTCTCCCAGGCTGGCCATATCTCCCAGGCTGGCCATATCTCCCAGGTTGGCCATGTCTCCCAGGCTGGCCATCTCTCCC